AATTAAAATATGGTCGCTTTTTATGTCAATGTACCACAAATAACTTTTAATGAACAACATTCAGAATTATTTTTAAGATCCAACACTAATAAACTCTTTAACTTTGTAGTATATATACACATCGATTCATGAAGTGGCATTGAAATTGTTCCCTTTAATATTCTATAAAGGAGTTCCTTTGTAAAAGGTCCATGACCAAGAAAAGCAAGAATTGAAACATTAGTCAGCTGCCTGAATGGTAGGCTTAGTTTTTGACACAAAACCAGATGGTTCAAACACTGTCGATCACAGTCAACATTCACATTGAAGTTGCAGAAATGACTCTACTCCTGCGCGTTAATGGGGATAGACTAGCTTTGTCAAGTACTGAAGGAGCCAGGAATCCACAGAGTGAATTTCCGGGAAATGCGCCTATAGATATTTACGATAACATCATGAAAACTGAACGTAAAACGAAGTAGGCTCAAAGTTTGTTGTTTTGAAAGGAACGTCTACATTTCAATAGAGATTTAGTTCAAACATAAAATTCTAGATCGATTTTGTATCTCACACTTTTCCTGTCTCGCATAGTTTCTTGCATATTTCTCATTTAATATAAAAAATTGCATCTGCAAGACATTTTCCATTCGAATATACTTTTCATTTCTATTGTTCATTTGTTGTGACTGTTGTGGGAATTCTATTGAAGAGTTTTTATTGAACGACGAATATTCCAAGTTCTGTCCACACATTAAAGAAAATGGTTGAACATACAAAAATCGTGATTCTGTGAAAGTTAGAGTTCAAAGAAGCAAACCGATGGTTGGTAATCATAATGTTGATGTTCCCATGAATCATTCAAATCAGACCAAATCCTAAATGAAAATAAAAAACTGAAATCTGATTTAGCTGCTCTACAGTCAAAAGTGAATGACCTAGATCAGGCTTCACGTTCGAATAACCTAGAAACACAGGGTATTCCTGAAAAACGGAATGAAGATTTACTAAATATTGTGGAGAAAATAGGAGCATACATTAACTACAATGTGACTCCTCACACAGTCGATTATGCACGACATCAAAGAATATAATTGTTAAATTTACGTCTAGGAAAGAGAGGGATCTATTTCTGATGGCGGTAAAGACCAAACGCATTAGAAACAATAATTCAGAAAAAACTGTTGCATAAGGACGTCAGGGCAGCTACCAGGGACAAGCAATACAAGTATGTCTGGGTCAAGAACGGTGTTATTTTTTGCAGGATGATTCATCCAGAATAATTGCTATCAAAAGTCAAGAATGTAGTTTTACTTTCCTGTTTTCACATAAGTCTCATTGATTAATATATCTGGTCCTCATGGATAAACTGTTAGTGTATGGCCCAAATGTAAATGGATTGCGATCTGAAACTGCTGAATTTAAACTGAATACCCTTAATATACAGGCTGATTCACGGTGGATGGCACATTAGACGTTTCTGGTGAACCAGACAACGGATCACTTTGAAAATTAAAATAAACAGCTGTGGAGCTACTAATATCATTGTTCTAGAATCGAATAAGGAAATGGATCATTTAGAAAGAATTGGAACACCTCAGGAAGACAGCGAGAACGACCTTTAACAAGGCAAAACGTACAAGACTCGAAGAGGGGTGGGTTATATATCAAGCCAACCTCAGAGAGTTCAAAAAAGTCTGCAGACGAAAGCAAAGAGAAGCCTGGAGGGCCTATTGTGAGGCAGTCGAAGACTTCCCGCTAGCCTCTAGGCTACAGAAGGCAGAATGACCAGCATAAGAGTTTCGGTATCTTGACGAAGGAAAATGGCGACAAAGCCGCCAACCTCCAGGAGAGTGCTGATATTCTTATGGAAACTCACTTCCAATGTTCTGTCTTTCCTGGAACGACGAACTGGATGGATGTACCAACAACACCCTCACAATACGACTGGCTATCTGCTAGTGCAGTAATTGATGATGACAAAACTGGACACTCTTATGCCGCACCTGGTTGGAATATTCAGAGCTTCTCTAGCTCTGAGGTATATTTCCAGTAAATGGAGAGAAGTAAGAGTAGTATTTATACCAAAACCAGGTAGGATGGACTACACCCTACCAAAAACATTCCGGCCAATTAGTCTCACATCGTTTTACTTAAAAACCATGGAGAGGCTATGTGAGCGGTATATAAGAGATGAAGTACTAGTTCACAACCCACTTCATCCAAATCAGCATGCATATACTCCGGGAAGGCCTACTGATTCAACCCTTCACCATGTGGTTGGCAGAGTCGAAATATCATTGACAACAAAGAATCCACCCTGGGTATATTCATAGATATCAAGGGAGCGTTTGATAAAACAACCTTTCNTTTGAATCATTAGATTAAGCATTTAGATCATTTACCTGTTGAACGCCAGTTTTGTTAGCACAATCTGTATTTTAGTGGATACTTGTTTGGGTTCTTTTACCTGTATGTGTCCCGAATTTAGAATAAATAAATAAATAAATAAATTCTATACTGTGCAGGATTCAATAGGAACCAAGTTTCAACTACCTGTGAACTAAATTATCCAAAAGAACAACTGGTTCAGACCGGTCTCAACTCACCTACAGTGCAGGTTAATAGATTGACACCTATCAGGAAACAACTACTCCCTTGGCTAATACTACGAAGGGCGTTGGATTATACCCGACAGGTGTTAGTGTAGGATTCTCCATAGAAGTAATTCCTGCATATGCTGTTGGAGATTCAACTGCCGGAATAGATTTTTAATTGTTGGAATTGTTGGACACACTTGTATACCAATTCAGGATTACTGCCTCTCGTCATTGCAAGGTAGAGTACATGAGGTAACCAACAGCATATCCAAATCACGCAGCTCCTCGTGTGAGGAAAAAACCTTTCACATATAATAAAGGGGCGTTCTTGAAGACTGACTGTGAAACAATCTAAAAGAACCTAAATCTTCACCAGCAGCAGCAGGTTTGAAGCTCAGATCAGACCTGCTTTGAGGTATTGTTCTCATGTATGGAGCTCCGCTCCTAAATATACCCTGAAGCTGCAGGATTCCGTCCAGAAAAGAGCCATCCTCCCGATTCAAGTCACGAACATTACTTGCAACCTTGGTAGTCTGGAACATCGAAGAAAAGTTGGAGATTTGTTTCTCTTCCATAGATACTTTCACTGGAGGTGTTCAAGTGACTTGGCACATTCGATTCCACCAAGAGCGGTACATATCAGAAGTACGCGACGAGACTACTCATCGTTTTGAGGTTCAACTCAGTGCACCCCGAACTTCACAGAAGATTTTCTTGTAGTGCTCGTGTTTTGCCCTCAAAAAAATGTAGGTGACTTGAGAGTGAACCTGAACGAATTGTAATTTGATTCACAGCCACTTTTCAAGTATGCAAAAATACCTGTGAACTTTTGTGAACTCATTTCAACGCAACAGTTCAGCGACTGTAATTTTTCGAAACAAATAAATTGGAGCCGTTGAGGTCGAATTTGGAAATAACTGTTCATTTAGTAGACATAAATAACATTACTGTGACACATTCAGTCAAAACTTTATCACATTGACCAAAAGAAATAAACTTTGTGGTTGCAAAGACACCATCCTGGCAAGCCATGATGAATCTCGTAGTTTCCGACTTCAGTCCACTCGACCTTAAGAAGGAGAAGGTCATGTGATTTGACTGAGGTCTTCAATGCTGTTGAAGCCATGCATTGGCTTATCCTTGTGTTGCCGCAGGAGTGATCATAGTTCAGTGTCGACTGAACCAAGTTCATCAGCAGCTCGGGCAGCTGCTTTGAAGAGAAATGCTTCAGTTTCTGCTCTCTCATGGTCGCGGACCATACAGAGAAAGGAATCAGAATGTCTGATGATTCAATAGGCTCTATCCAGTACCATTCTGTCATGTAGACATGTCACGTAGACATGCCATGTCGACCTAATGGACTGGATGGATCCAAATTCAAAAGCCTTCGGCCTCCCTGTTGTTGGGGGAAGATGCCGTTGCATCATATTTCAGGTCTTGACGTCGACTTGATACAGCTCCTCTCGGATCCATTTCATCACTCCAATCGCGTAGAGTAAGATTGAAACGGCAGGCATATTCGTTGCAGCAACTTTGTTCTTCCCCGACAGTTCCAATGACCAGATCTGTCGAAGTTTGTGCTCATACTTGCCGAAGAGAGAGTTCCTCACTGCTGTTACCTCTTGTGAGTGACGTTTTTCCATTTCGAGGTGAGTATACGTCTCTCCGGCATCTAGATTGTGCAAAATGCTTCCCTCGTTGAGCTGCACATCCTCTCCATAATCCCTGCGCCGTTGAGATGGATCGTTGCACATTTGTCTATTCCAAATTTTATATCTGATAAAAGTATTTTTCTCTAGAGGCATGAAGTTTAAGGTCCCTCATTTAAAATAAATGGGTAACTCTAGGCCTCTGGATTCCGGGGGTGCCACAGTTACACACACAGAGTCGTCCAACGAAAAGTATGCACCTTGCTTTTCTCCTTTTTTTGTAACTTAACGCAAAAATGCTCGGACAGGTCAATTTTGCTTTTGAGGGGGGACACATTTTAGATTTATTTTTCTACCTGTGCCTTCAACCCCCCAGAGAGGATGAGTAACAATCCTAAAATTTTAAGTGGAAAGTGGGGAAGAGTGACATATCATTTGAAAGGGCACAAAATTATATTTCCAATGATACTTAATTTGTTNGAAAGAGAATTTTGTGCCCTTTCAAATGATATATCACTCGACTTTCTATTTAAAATTATAGGGTTGTTACTCACCCTCGCTAGGGGGTTGAAGGCACAGGTAGAAAAATATATCTAAAATGTGTCTCCCTCAAAAGCAAAATTGACCTGTTCGAGCATTTTTGCGTTAAGTTACAAAAAAAGGAGAAAAGCAATGTGTATAATTTTCGTTGGACCACTCGATATAATGGCAATAGTGAGATGCAGGAAAGAAGGGGACCATCATCATCATCATCGTCATTATTATTATTACTTACATACTGTTTGTGAGAAATTTCTCCCCATAAATATTCTGCTACATTTTTCAGATACGCCAGACAAATTCGTGTTGAAGTAAACATCTTGGAAGTAATCAAGATAGGTTTCAATCAAATTTGCACTATCCGATTTTCGAAATGACATGAAGACCGCTACGAAAACCAAATTTATTTTCATGTTTCAAGTTGATTCTCACCAAGTCAACTGCCGCTTAACGAACAGTTTCTCATATTGTTCGCCAATCGATAACAGCGGCGACGACAGAATATTTTCCAGGAGGTAGCTTAGTTCAATATAAAGCAACCGCAGTAGATTATATTATTGGAACGGTGCTATAGAAGCGAATAGTCGACGATAATAATCATTTTTGTGACTAGAGCAAAAAGTTCATCTTTGTTGCACACGTTACACACAACATTTTATCTACGAACGAGCTATTTTTTTTAGTTTAAATTCTATTGAATGAGATAAAAAAAATTATTCAATCAAGAATATTCCTTTTTTCGAGGTAATTTCGTTTTCATATTTGCTTAGGTGTTCTTCACTAAAAACTCTTTTTCGAATTGTGGTTGAGTTTCTAGAACTGGTTCTTGGTCCAACTATGTCCAACTATGGCTCAAAGTTTCCAGGGAATAACTGTACCAAAAATCAGTCATTTCTAGGTAGAAAGTGAGATTTCGTGGGCTAAAACATGTGAAAGTACAGACAATAACAGAATAGGATGATTCAAAATAACAAAATTGTAAACAAAATATCACATTTTCACAATAAATGCTGAAAATGTTGTATATTACATTCTAAACACTTTAAAATGTTTTTTTGTACGCGACTTGTGGTTGCTTTTTCAATTTCCTGGGGATCCAGATCTTCAATACTCCGCACTATTCGCCGTCGCAATTCTTCTTTGGTAGGCACTAGAGTACTGTATACCCTTTCTTTTAAAACACCCCATAGAAAAAAGTCAAGTGGCGTGAGTTCGGGTGATCTCGGTAGCCAATCCCACGGCCCTAAACGCCTAAACCAGCGATCGTCGAAGAGTTCGTCAACTTTCCTGGAAACTTCCTGGGTGGAATGAGCTGGCGCTCCGTCCAGTTGAAACCACGAATTCCTATATTCCTCTAAAGGCAAATTTTCAAGAAAATCGGTTACAGTCGTCCTTAATATTTGGAGATATCTCTCTGCATTCCGTGTGTCTTCATAAATAAAAAAGGTAATTTTATTTTTCTTCAGAATACAGAAAATATTCAGGTCAAATTTTTCTTGAAAACCCATTTCTTCTGTAACATAAGGATTATGATCAGCCCAAAAATGTTTATTCCTTCTATTGAAAATACTATCCCTCGTAAATTTTGATTCGTCGCTCCAAATTATTTTTGACAATAATTCCCGCTCTTCCTGTGTATGAATCAAAAGGGATTCACAAAAATGCATTCTACGTTCGAAGTCTTCTGCTTTTAGAGCTTGAACTTCGGTAAATTTATACGGATGCATTTCGTGATTTTTCAAAATTCGTTGTACTGAAGCATGTGATACACCTAAATCTTTTTCTGCACTGCGAATGGAAGCTTCTGGATATGCATAAAAATATGCCAAAACTTTAACAGTATTGTCCTCATTNTTTTTTTAGATATAATATGTGTTCATTGTAAAGTATGTTATTTCTGTTATTTTATTATACTTTGTAGTTAGTTATAGTCCCTAATTATAAGCATTCATTGTTTCTTGGGACATTAAACCGATTTGAATTGAATTTCACATACAAATCCTAGTTTCTTTTTCCAATTCTGAAAAGTTTTGTCATAGCAGCTTACGTTATGTCCGGAAGTTATCCATTTCTTCCTTATGATTTCAGTTGTGGGAATCTAATTGCTTTTGTAATTGTTTTTTTCAATGATTTTATCAGATGAACATCTAAAGGTTTTGGTAATCCCGTATCACGTCCTGCGTTTGAAGGTTTGTTTTTGACTATTTTACGTACAGTTGTTGCTTGTAATAGTTTGTTTCCCTCGAAACCAAACTTGAGATGTAGATTCTTATATCCATTGAAACATACTCTCTGTGTTTCAATATTCAAATGCATGCGAATCTTATTCACTGATATCTCTTTTTCGCATTGTTCACCATCGCTATTGGAATCACTACACAGAAAAAAGTCTGCGTTGTTATCTCACTCGTTATTACTATTAGCCAAGGACGCCACATTTTGAACAGATAACGAAAATTTCAAGTAATTATAACTGCACCAGTATCGAATTTCAACACTCAAATCGCGATCAGTTCCTGAACTGAACAACGACAACACGAAGTGTATAAACATCCTCACATTCGCCGTAACATGAATTCAAATTTAATTTTATGACTCTTCAGCCAATCATAAAACTCGATTAGTAAAAACAATCCAATACGAACCGCCAATTCTTCAGTCCACGTGGACTAGTTGGCAGCGGCATAATTTCTTTGTGTTGGTTTTTTTAGCCTTTGAGGGCGCCGACATCTTCAACTATTTACAATACCAGTTACTTCGGTAAGCAATGTTGCAGAAGATCTATACGAAAACAGTGTCCTGTATATTTCTTGGGTGTATCAGAAGAAATAATACTAAAAAAATTATTTGCAGTGCACTACCATTCCAAAATATCCATTTGAGCTTCCGTATCATTTATAACATTCGGTGAATATTCTCACAATTTATACTTTTAGAGAGACTATCAAAAGTTTTGATGTACATAAAATCTTTTTCAATGAAAACATTCATTCGCTGAGCTAATCAAATAATTTCGTGGCAAGAATATACTTGGGATATAAAGTAATACAGAAATAAGGTAACTTATTTATTCATGGAGTTAATTCACATCGAATTCAATTTGTCGTCTTCGGTCTCGAAAAAATTCCAAGTTTCCATGTTCGTCCACATTTCCTGCTGAACACCGGTATTATTTTATCTTCGATACATCCACTGACGTAGTTTTCCAGGGTAAATATGGGTAATTCGAATGTTAGGCTTGCCAAAAAAGCTACACCTATCATTATCACTGTTGATCCCCAAGTATCGATTAGCTATAAAAAAATCCCAGTCAAAGATCATAATATAAAGGATAGTGATGAACTCGCTCGATTCATAGCTCGCTTCCAAGAACATTTTCAGATATTTGGTTTCATAGACCAGAGAAGTTTAGTATCGGTCAAAATAATTGAGACCACTTGAAATTGTTGATGAAGCCGTCACATGACAACTTTCTGAATGCCTTTGAAATAAAAAATGTGGAATGAGAGCTATGAACTAGGTAAAGACTAGGTATCATTCAGGTAACAAAATTATCGTTAGTAAAAAATCGCCTGTTTGTATTTCTAAACTCTCTAATTGGTTCAATGAAAACTTAAGGCTTTCTCGTTACAATATAATATGAACAATCTTTTCGTATTGTTGATACACCCTCCATGTGCGAAATAAACAGCTGTGGAGCTACTAATATCATTGTTCTAGAATCGAATAAGGAAATGGATCATTTAGAAAGAATTGGAACACCTCAGGAAGACAGCAGTATGGAGCCATTGCATGGGGACTGAAAGTTCTACAAGCAACGGCCATTTGAAAATTATACCAAATACAGCGAATGGCTTGTTTAAACATCACAGAAGCCATGAGAAAAACACCAACCGCGGCAATGGAATTGATCACGAGTCAGACCCCTCTTGATCTGTACGTTGAGGAGGTTGCGTTAATGGCCATGGTACGATTGGGCAGGGCTGGTGTAAACCTCAAAGCTGGGCCTGTGGCGGAAAGCGCTTACTGCGCAACCTCTGCTGCAGACAACAAGCGAGGCAATTGAACCCAGAACCCTACAAAATACTAATTAAGCAGAACATAGAACAGACGGCTAATAAACCAAAGAAGGCTCAGGGTGTGGACTGTACTCCAGATCACTAGGCCTGAGAATTATGTAGGGAATGGGAAGAAATACCAGCGTGGTCCAAACAGAACTGGCAGGTATCTGAATCGCCACAAAAAAATTAACCAAGAAAGGAATTTCTGGCAAAAACATAACAATCTGCACTGACAGCAGACAAGCCCTATTAGCCTTCAACCGACAACGTATAACATCAGGGCTAGTAGTAAAGTGTTACCAAGATTTAGCCAAAGCCTCGGTAGATAATAACATCATCCTGAGGTGGGTTAAAGGGCACGACAGGAGTAAAGGTAATCGCATTGCCGATTCTTTAGCCAAGGAAGCGACTGGACTAAGATTTTAGGACCCAGTGGCACCTACGGCCTGATGACTTCGACAGTTGCGGAACTAGTGCGGAACATGCTCAATCCTCAAAGAGATGGGACGCAACCAAAGGATGTAATCTTACCAGGATCACCTTGGGTGACCCTGGGAAGCTGGCGCCGAAGAAATATCGGGCAATGACCAAGAAAAATCTATGCCTATCAGTAGGATTTCTGACTGGCCACTGTCAACCAAGGAAACACCTCCATAATATAGGGCTAGTGGACACACCTCTATGCAGGATGTGTGAACAGGAAGATGAGACTATCAGGCATGTCCTGTGCGAGTGCCCGGAGTTATCCTCAATAAGAGAGTGTGTGTTCGGCGAGTCTTGGCCTACACCTGCCGATATAAAGGAGATGTCTCCCAGTGACCTGTCCACCTTCCTGGAAAGGACATGATGGACGATGACCTAGGAGGACAACTCCTCAGGATGATGTACAATGGGTCACATGTGACCTAAGTACTGTGGGCTTACACTCACCCTCCCTACTCTACAGATACAGATGATTTAGAAACAAAAAGTGCTGGGAAAATATAGCCAGAAACACATATAGAAAAACCGTTAGGAAGAGACCTCTACAAAAAAAACCTTGACCATTGGACAAGGACCATCATAAAATATCTGATCTAAACATGAGGTGTGATAAGAAAATACTGGGATTGGTATTCTGTGAGCAAAACAATGTGAGACTTAAGGTCAAATGCCATATTGGCTCAGTCGCTTGACATCTTTCCTTTACTTTCTAACCGGTTGGACAACACTAGCTTGCTCAGTTGAATATCTGAACAATAACTGAACATTTATCAAATATCTGAACAAAATACGTGGTTTGGCCAGACAAAAACCGAAACAGCAATTCGATTCCAAATAGGTTGGGTAGTGAAACATAGAATATTCATACTATTCATTTCAGTAGAATCTTCATACTGCATGATTAATAGGTATGCAATCAGTTCCTTACCAGATCAAATATCGAAAAATGCACCACAGTCTTCAATGATGCCACCTTCAAATGTATTATCATGAAATGAAATATGTATATGCAATATGTCAACTTTGACAATACTTGAAAGATCTTGAGGGACAAGAACTTGTTGATGATTCCTGAAAAAGTCAAGTAAATGTAAATGTACATAATATACTTTGTGACTAAAAGCTATACAATGTATAGAATCCTCAGACACCATATGGAATCCTCCAAGGTGTGTTGAGAGACAGATATATTTTTTGTCACAGTCCTTAGATCTCATTTCATTTATCTTAGACTTCCTATTTATCAACATATTGTTTTTAGAGTTACCCATCATTTGTTGAAGTGAGTAAGAAGTTTTGAAGGATGAAAAGAGAAATGAAATGTCCATGTTTTTTACTACTTTTATTTGTAACTAACGTTACTGCAGCTTCGTCCTATATAGACATTTTCAAACTTAAACAATAAACTAAGAATGATTCATTACATTCGCTAATATATACCATTCAGGTACTTGATTGAGTACCTGAATTTACAGTTCAGAATGCGCATGTGCCAATTAAAAAACCGGAGAGTGAATTAAATCGATTTGGTCATTTAACAGGTTGCACCCGCAATGTTTATGCTTGTGAATTTCCAAGGATTCTAAATAATTGAGTTTGCAACCCTTCCTTGCATAGTGCAGAATTTCCGTATCGTTTAGATTCGGAAACTTGTGGTTTCCGTGGTTTGGTTTTCCCAGTCTGAATGAAGGACCTTTCATGTTCAGCATACCGTTTTTGGAAATTTCGTCCGCATTGTCCCATATAAACACTATTACACTCCGGACACTTAAGCTTTTAAACTCCAGATTTTTCCAACTTGTCGACCTTATCTTTGGCATTGAAAAGAAAATGAGATAACCTGGCATGTGGTCTGAATGCTACTTCCACATTGTTTTTTCTGAATAAACCTGCGATAATTTCTGTTCTTTTTCCAAAATATGTTAGCGTTACCCATTTCTTGATTTCTGGTTGTTTGACCTGAGTATATATTAATCTGCAAGTGAATTTCCGGCTTTGTTTCCTGACTAACTTCTGGATAGTATCTGCGTTGAAACCGTTATGACCTATCTGTGAAATTGTATCAATTGTGGAATTTAACAAAGAGGAAATTTCAACAATGTCCAAGGGGTTGAAATATACACCAGCAATAATTAATAAAAATAGTTTGGATACGTTGATAACAGATACAGCTACTGCACTGAAACAGACAGATAATAGAGATATAGGGGCATACAAGATAAATGAAGTTATTCAGAACCAACCATTCTCTTTATCAAACAGTAGAGAAACCGGCATAATAAAAACTATACAGCAAAAAATAAGAAATAATGATCTTGTTTCCACGAAAGCTGATAAATCGAATGCCATAGTTATCCTTGAATGAGAAGCATATGTTCAGAAAATTGAGTCAGTCATTCGAGATGAAAACCTTACTGTCATCAAGAAAGACCCGACGAAAAATAGTCAAAATGAACTGAAAACTTTCCTCTTAGATACTAAAATCATTTTCACGGAATCAGAGAAAGGGAGAATCACCAACATGAACCCCTCTTGCCCTAAACTGTATGGCCTGATAAAAACACATAAAGAGGATAACCCCATAAGACCGGTAGTTTCGTATATTAAATAGTCCGGTAAGAGAACTAGGAATACGTCTCAACAAGTTGTTCAAAAATATTACCAATTTCGTCCCACCTCACAGCATTAAAAATTCACTGACTTCAGTAGAAAACATAAGGAACCAAACCACGCCACATAATTCAATTTTAGTTTCATTCGATGTAAAGAGTATGTTCTCCAACATACCGTACAACGAGTGTAAGCCCCTCATTTTAGACATATTAGATCAAGCCAAAGTAGACCATATCACTTCCTTTGAGGTTTCAACAGCTTTCGATTTGTGCCTGAATCAGAGTTATCTACAGTTAAACAACAAATTCTATAAACAGGATTCAGGTTTACCAATGGGCTCACCCCTCAGTCCACTTTTAGCAGACATATTTATGAACAACTTGGAGACCAAGATAGTAAACTCCGACCTGGGTAAAAAACATATTAATTTTTGGTACAGATATGTAGACGATATTCTTGCCTGTTTCAGAGGTACTACACGACAGCTGAACCAATTTATGACATTCATGAACAATCTCAATAGCAACATTCAGTTCACACTCGAAACAGAGATAGAGAAAGAAATAAATTTCTTAGACCTGGCCATTACACACAATCAGAATAAATTCGAGTTCAATGTTTTCAGAAAACCTAGCTATACAAACATCACCGTCCCAAGCGATTCTTTTCATCCAGACAGTCATAAATTAGCAGCCTACGATTCAATACTGCACAGAGCATTCTCACTGCCTTTGTCTGCAGACAATCTAGCTAGGAAAATTGATACAATTACACATATAGGTCATAATAACGGTTTCAACGCAGATACTATCCAGAAGTTAGTCAGGAAACAAAACCGGAAATTAACTTGCAGATTAATATATCCTCAGGTCAAACAACCAGAAATCAAGAAATGGGTAACGCTAACATATTTTGGAAAAAGAACAGATATTATCGTTTATTATCACAAGCATAAACATTGCGGGCGCAACCTGTTAAATGACCAAATCGATTTAATTTACTCTCCGGTTTTTAAATTAGCACATGCGCATTGTGAACTGTAAATTCAGGTACTCAATCAAGTACCTGAATGAAGTTTACATTTGCAAAATACGAAGGATTTGGATTATATTACAGCTCCGACTGAAAAACACGTCATGAGATGTTCTGACGTGTCACTCAGAGGTAAGATGAATCAATAACGACTTTTTTAAAGGATCCGAACATCTAGTGGAAATGTTCCCTGCACTCTCATTTGGGTTGTTCAACCTGGACCAAGTGAATGGTGAAAATTTAAAGGTGAACGACAATACTGTTTTAAATGCGAGTGGCAGGTAAGAAATTCCCTGTTGATCTTTATTTACTGGAATTCACAGCTTTCATCATTGATAGTAAAGTCACCAAAACTGAACTTATTAGGGTGTCTGATGAGCTCCTTTCATTAAAAAAGAAAATAAGTGAGTTCACACAAAATGGAACTTGATTACTGAAGAGAGGCATAAATTATAACATCAAATCGAGTTTTTTAAGGAAAAAACACAAGCAATACAGGAAAATCCTTAAGTATCAATTAGAATTACATTTCTTATGAATATTTCGTTTGAAGATAGCAATTTTTTGCCAGTGAGAAGTGACATTTTCATATCAAAGAGTCTTGTTTATTTGAAAAGTGATGTTTTTCGAAAGTATTCTTGTATCATATTGGTCTAGAAATGCTTCAGTTTTTCCAGAATACTTACGTAAAGACATTTTCACGTAAAATTGAACTTTGTGTTTGCTTAGAATGGCATTTATCTTCAGTGAAATTGTGTAAGTAGAATATTTTAGAGAAGTCGTCCAAAGAACAGTAGCTATTCAAACAGAAGCCACTATGCAGACTAATATTTTCAATTTTTCCACTAACATCCGTGTGTATCATCTGAAAACAAATCATGTACTGAAAAATCATATGAATTACTGTTATTTCTATCACTTCTNTCAGAGCAGTTATTTTTTTACTTGCCTTGGGTAGTTTAAAAAGGATTGGACTTCTTGTGGGATACTGAGGAACATTAAAATATATGAGTTCGAGTATGTTTATATCTGTAACCTTGTACAAAAACATCATTTGTGTTACATCCCGTCTATTATAAAGAGATGATATTTTGAAATGCTGTCTCAAATTCATTGCTCTGATTTTTGTGTAATCCGGCCAACACTGGTTTTCTTCATAGTATAGAAAACTCCCCTCATGAAGACAGGGTGCAGGCCAATTCTTGATTTTTTATTGACATTCAATTATTAGTGCGGAAAAATTTACCACACTGAAAGCTCTTATTCGGAAGGCATCTATAGACTTTCCAGAAATACTGTACTTATCCCTTTTCAACACTTGTCGCGCTTGATCAACTTAGTTTCACCAGGATATAAAACATTTCAAGCATACCAGTAAAACAAGAAATACGGCTTACCTAAGAGTTTCAATAGGGATTCGCATCCTTTCCTTCGAAAAGAATAAATTATCACTGTTGAACATACATTGTCACTGGACGAAATAATCAGAGTGTCAAGATTCTGTTTCTACTCTTTCCAATGATGGATTTGATAGAAAATATGTATAACGAAGTACAGGGTCTCACCCAAGGTTTTAATGCACTAAACGTTACAACTCATCGAAATCCTATTTCCAGAAATCGACAAAAACACTTGACAAAAACCCTGTTAAGATCAGGGATTCCGGCAGTATTCAGTTTTAGCCGCCTCAGACCTATATTTTACAGCGCAGTCAAACACTCCCAAAACGATCTCCTCGTTGTTTCCAATTTGATCCTCTTCTTATGCTATTAGTGGTTCTAAAACTTTGATAGTTTTGTGCTTGTACTCGTATACTTTTCACGATTTTGTGCTTGTGCTTGTGATTTTGATGATTTCGCCTGGTAGGACTCAAAAAAAATGGAATTCATTCTCATGAATGTTTCACCTAAATCACTACTACGTGCCCTCTATATGAAGTCAGGCACAGAAGAGACCCTTTCAAAATTTCATCCTTCACATTGAATCGGTGTCGGATCAAAGTTCAGGCAACACTACTACAGATACCTCTAATTCTGTTAGTCATGTCCTAAATATATTCAACTGCCAGATTATACAAATCAAAAGACATTTCTTATCTAACTGACACTTCTGTTTTTATTTTTTTCATGTATATTTACAAATTATATTATGTAAGTACATATTTGTAAATGCTACTGTTACTCCCTATTCTGTAATTGGGGTCAACCTCTAGAATAGTGTATGAAATAAATAAATAAATAAATACTTACACAACTCGTAGGTTGTAAATAATTCTGTACGTAAAGCAGTGTCATCCACCAATTGTTTCTACAAGGCTCAATCAGGTTGCTTTCGACGATATTCCAGCATGGACCATTACCAAAATATCTCAAAATTGAAGAATGCATTAGAACTGCGATGGCTAGGACAGGGGTCAGTCTAAAAAG